AGAGATACTAGCTGTGTACAAGTCAAGTGAGAAAAACTGCGGTCACTATTGACCTTGGCTGATCATACCGAGTTATATTTTGCAATCCAGCTGCGTAACTGAACAATCGGATACAATCATCAAGTTATTTTACATTGCGGCAGGAAAAGAAGAAGACGGGTTGTGCCGAGTTGTACAGTTTCAAACGCTATTGCAACAACTGAATATGGGTTATTCAGATCTCAAGGTCTGGTTGAAAGGTACCTGGTGTACAACATCTCCACGTGGATCAGGCCAGACACAATGCCTGGCTTTATCGACTCCCTGAACAGAGAACTTGGGTGAATCGTGTGATAACCAGGGCCCCAAGAAAGGTCAGAAGAGAGATGTTGACGACTTTAAAAGCTGAGGAGCATCTGTCCTTGTGACGATGGAGTGGCTGTCACTGAATTGAATCAGTGTTCCGCATGTACTTTGGAACATGTTCCTTTACTCCCACCCACCTCGAGCTTCTTTTCAGTTCTCCATATGTGGACCTTATCGCACCAGCAGTTTGACATTGAGAGTGCTTGTGGGTATGCTTTTATTGACGGTCGTGGACTATTTCCGGTTTTTGAGAAGTAAAATTTGCCATGAAGCGTTCCAGCTTCTTTTGAATGCTACTTTCACGATTTTTTCCTCATGCCACTGACAACGGCGTCATCTTTGTATGCCAGGTGGTGAAACACTTGATTTCGTTTTGACCTGAAGAAGAGGTCTACTCTGGGGCGCTACAAAGCTCTTCAGGTCACTGTTTTTCCCTCGGTAACACAGGTGATAGCCACTTAGTCCGACACAACAAAAGAAAAAAACAGTTCAATATAGAAAGGGTAACTGTTCATATCAGCGAGCCCATATGAACAACTTGGCGATGAGGAAGGGAAGCGAAAGGTAGGCTAATGAAGAAACAGCCATTCTGAGAGCGCAACGAAAGCCCCTAACGTCAAGGGCACTGAATTCAAACACAAGTTTTAAACTATAGATTATTGACTCCACTCTTACGAACTGTACCATACCCACCAGCCATTCCGTTAATTTGTGATGAGGTGAGCGATTCAGACTGAATAGTGATTGAAGTGGTACACCATGTGTGTAAGTCTTTGCTAGTCCATAAAGCTCTGGCGTATGTGAACCAATGTATGTGATCACACTGCTGATCAGTAGCTCGTTGCAGAGCAGTCACGTGTTCCAGTAGTGGCCAGAACGTCAGGGATTCGAAACTCTGAGCTTCGTGAGATTCCCAGTAACGATGAAGATTCGTAGCATGCTTCTTTGCTTTTCGGCGAAATCTGATTTGAAATCTGATTTGAAAATATATGAACCTGTTGGGTCCTTGGTATAAAATCGAGCAATTTTTTTAATTTACAGCTCAGAAACAATTTGCTTTTCCAAGGGTAAAACGTTATCTGGTTAGGTATCCATCTGGAGCTATCCTGTATCTGATAAATTGACCTGCATCCTAATAATATGATCAATTTTTTTCACAATAACTGCGACATATTCTTTGTTTGGCTTCAGACAACTTCGGTCATCGTAATGATTCTGTTTAAGCTGTTGTCAGAATGCACTGCCAAAATATGGATGAGAGGGTAGGTTGGTGAATCAGGTGAACAAGCTTTGTTTAAAACTATTTGTCAACCTCGAGCGTACAAACTATTTACTCTCTTTTCATTCGCTATCCAGACTCATAAATGAAGTTGAATTCTCTGTCCAATCGTTAGTCAATAATAGTAGAACAGTCAAAAGGCAGTGTTCAGAAGTTTCTCCTACGAAATCATTGGAGTTGCATCCATTCACTTATCGACTTTGATAAATAGTGACGACGTGACTGTTTCGGTGTCCAATGTGAAGGCAACGACGTGGACTTCACCCAGCCACAGCCCGCTGTATGTACTTTCCTTACCTTCTGAATGATCCGAGATTAGTCTCGCCTAAAAATCGATCAACAGCAAAGACGCACTTACTTGCAAGATGCAGGCAAGCCAGCTGGCCAATCAGCTGAATGTGGCTGCCATCTACACATTGCGTGTTGTAAATGAGATTATTTTTGTTCTCTGGCATTATCCAGGTGATAAATGCACACCCGGTACATTTGTGAACTGGAGATTCTAATCAGCCTGCAGTGCTGACGAATATCTATCGACATCAGGAAGTGAAGCCGAATTTTTCGGAACTGATGAGTTGTTCATACCATTTTACAAGCGCCCTCTACCTTGCAGATTAGCGGACGTGGTTTTTCCATCAATCTACCTGTAGCAGGAGGGTGAATGTCTATGGAGCCCAATCGTCTGTTTGTGGACGACCAGTGGATGTTCCCGACCACAGAATAAAGTAATACGACGACAGTTTTTGCGTTTTCACATACACTTTTTCAAGTGGTCTGTATGAAAGCCAGTGATCAACCGAAGTTCCCAGGGCCATCAGGTTATCGTGCACCACTCCAGTGTGGTGGGAATATGGAATAGATTCTATAGAGGATGCCCATTAAATGAGTGGATCACAACCAACATCAGGCTGGAACCGGACATGAACATACGAAAGCGACGCACCTGAATAAGTGTCAGCCACCCCTACCTACACCGATCTATTCCTATTCCTACCTATACCCTCCCACTGTGTCGTACGAAAAGTTTCTTCGACTTGATCAACAACTGAGACTGTCTGATGATCTATGCTCTGACTCCACTTGCATCGGTGGTCCGAAGCATACCCTGCTGATACAACTGGCCAAATTAAGACCACTCAGCTTCACCGTGCTGTATAAAGCTTGGCCCTGGATCTACTGAGTAGGCGAGTGAACAGGAGACAGAGTTTAGTCATGAAGCCGTTTAGGACTTCAGACGGTATCAACGAGAGACTCAACAGAACCTCTCGTTTGCATCCATCATTAAACTTGGCCCTGCATCTACTGAGCAGGCCAGTGAACAGGGGGCGGAGTTTAATCATGAAGGCAGTTGGGACTTCAGACAATATAAACAAAAGACTCAATGGAATCTCTCGTTTGGATCACTGTTCAACTAAGAATTAAGGTCGGTAGGAACTCGGTAACTGCACCAGCCAGAAGGGTGAGATCGGTACCTAGCTAACATAGCGTTTTCATCGACTTTATGCGTAGTGTTTCATCAAGAAGATGGAGTTGATGACACATGTAGGAAGCTCTTGTAGAGTGACGAAGCATCCTTCACGTTCAAACCGATCTATCTGAATCACCGTCAGTTTTCGGTCTCTGCATTTTGCATTTCGAATGAAAAAGTTCTGCTTTTCTTCAAATACACTCGTTTGCATTGAACTTGGTTGTTACGGGAGACTCAACTGAATCTCTCGTTTTTTATTGATATTCTTCAACTGAATGTGCTGCACGAAGACCACCTTGTGTTTTCCAGATTTTCCAGATATCGCAGTATATTTTCATAAAAGAAACTGCTCACAAAGGTTGCTGAAAGCTCTTCAACAGGCCATGACAGGTTTCATCCTTCCTGTTCAAGCTCATCAGTAGGTCCAATCCCCGAGTACCGCTGAACCGTAGGATCCACGTAAACCCAAAGTGAACGAAATTTACGGTCTACACTTACGTTAACGGGATACTCAGCTGCGTCTCTCATATATGGTATTCTTCAAGCAGAACGCAAAGTTAAAATAAACAGAATTAGTGTGCAAGGGAATGTATCTCGCAAACTGCGTCTGATTTGGGTTCAAGTAGAACTAAGGATGAGGGAAATTCGGGGGCTTTGTTGACCCGATTAGGGTGAATAGGAAGGGTGAAACCGGTCGTGGATTGTCGAAGAGATTTCAGAAACCTTGTGAATAGTTCCCCTATGAGAATATGATGCTATATCTAGAATATGGCACCAAAGGAAACGTGAGGCGGGCTTTGAGCTTCATATCCAGTGGAAAAATATCATGAGTGCAGTCTACATCATAAGTGCGGACAAGCCTGTCCGCTTATTGGCTAGATGAATGCGCGCGTGAGTGTTGGCGTTTCCAGCACCTCATAGGCTTATATTGTGACCTTTTCGACTTATGGACACTCATGGCCATCCAAACTCCCCATACCAAGTCGACGCACCTTCGTCTGACGCACCGAAACCCCCCTGCACCACCGACCCAATGAGAAAATTCGTACAATATCGTGAGCTCTGTCTTCCCGTTTTGCTCAGGGGGCATCTTGCAATACTGTGTTGTAAAGCCATCGACTGAGCAGTGCACCCAGTCCCAAACGTGCCAACTTTGCTATAAAAATAAGCCTAATTCCATCATGCTGGAATGAGGCTTCAAATCATAGTCCAGACTCACTGTGATTGAAGAAACCTAACTTGGATGATTAGAATCATTTTTTTGTGCACAAGGGGTCTTCGCTTGGGGAATTTCTCATCACCGGATCATGTGAAATGAACCGCCTTACCCCAGGATGAGTGGTGCTATTCACACCAGCTATTTGTAGCTGAGAAACTGTATACTGCAGATTCGATTCTTCTCTCAGATACGTGGGATGAGTACTGATGCACTCTCTCGGTGATGAAGGGACGTTCTTACACTGATTTTCTGCTTCTCGTAATAAGTCGACTCTGCCTTTTAGGACGGAATCATAAGGTTGGGAACCAAACCAACAAAACTATCTAGCGTTCGGTCACTCTGATGGGAACAATCAGAGTTTAGGTCAGTCGCTCACGCGAATGCGTTTATCCAGTCCACTCTTGTTATAATAACAGTTTTTTTAAAGTGTCTGATAAACGAGGCTGTCCATGTAGCGTATCGGACCTATTACCAAGCCGTTATTCTAACGTCTCTGACATGAGGTGTGTATCCCGTAACTAAACGCACGAGCAGAAAGCCACTTAATCGACTAGAATACTTTCTCAGAGAATTGGGAAGAAAGATCATCCGGAAATTGAACGGATTCCTGTCGACAACCTGTTCTTAAGTCCTCGCGCACACTGTCATCACATCAAATGCCCTATCAGCTGTTTCAATGAGCAGCACAAATGGGACAGAAACATCGAGTACACCTATCCGAATCGCCTACCACATCGAATGGAATTCTGCGTGCAACTTGGGCTGTTATAGCACCCATGCACAATCCTGGTCAGTGCCCCTCCCCGCTACTGATGCACTGCGAACAAGCCAATCCTCGTCATTATGCTGCGTTGGGAAACAGCTTGCTGCTGACCAAAACGACAGATTACCAAGAGTACTCTTTGCTACAGTAAGTGCACAGCGAAGTATTATTTTTAATTCCGTTGTCGCATTTGGAGTCACCTTATGCATTTTGCCTTGGGTGTAGCCAGTCATAACGTGTATAGTCTCAAAAAAGGAAGAATTCACGTAGGAATTGGCCACCTCGTCTGAACCAGTCCATGGATTGAACATAGTCCCACAAGACCAAATGACACGCTCAAGAAAACGTCACGATACTGACTTTTTACTTGAGCACTTCAGTTATTCGTTCTGACATGTCAACTTGTGGTTGATAGGAGCAGGTTTTGAACGCATTGGTGCAGTGGTGTATTTGTGTGGTGAACTGTGTAATCCTAATTGTAGGCTGCGACTGTAGACGCTCCCTCACAAGGTCAGTTGGGGTGAGACAGATCCACACACTGTGCACACTCATAGCCCCAGCAACGCACTGATGATAACACCGGGCTCGCTCACGAAACAAACCGAGGAGTAACGAATTGTGAATAGGCCTCAACTTTGCCTCAGCCGAACGCCATTACCAGCCTATTTTCGTGATCGATCATCTACTGGAACCAAATGGGTTATTTACAATTGTGTGTGTATTGCTTGCATGGTGTCGTTTCAGGGGCTTGTTTTGACCTGGCGGTTGAGCTCAGGTAGATACGGCCTCGAGATCTAACGTACACTGTCCACCTGAGTTCGAAGGGTTTGTTTCTTAGGTTAGTCGCGACGTTGTAAGGTCAGCTGATAGGTAGTCAGTCATTAATATAACAAACAGTAGGTGTACTGATTGGGCGAATCACTACCCCCTAGTTGCTTGCTCATGGATCAGTCTACACTACCGTGTCTTCTAAAAGTAGCCTAATTTTCTCGGAAAGATTAAAATGACAGTCTAATTTCACTCCTAAATTATGTTGCGGTCCTCCTGGGACTGCAATAGACTGATGCTCCTCGCTAGATGTCGTAGTTTTAAGGAATACTTCAATCTACCGGTGTCATAGGAGAACCTGGTAGTTCGGTGTCGCATCCGGACTGCACACGAAGTCTATCGATATCTATCGATCGTATGGTTGGCGAGCTTGGGCAGTTTTCGCCCCTTATGCCTATCCGAGAGCACTGCTTGCTACTATAACGTTTTGATTGAAAATCTAGATGGGCCGGGAATTCGCCGGTGGAGTAGTGCCAACGGGCTCACCCAGCTTGTCAGATGTCCAGTTTAAAATCCCGGCGCTGCGCTGCAGATGAGCTCTAGTACGAATGAAACTCGAGTCCGGTGTTTTCACTCCTTTGTGTGTACTCACCAGAATAATTGTGTCAGAACGAGTAGAGGGCCGTTCAAAAGATAATGATGTGAATGTTAATATCTGAAATTTGTGAGAGGATCGGATCCACCGTACAGTCCTGGTCGGTCCATTCAGTTCCGTCGGTGTGATACCCTACCTAATATCAGGAGAGTTGAGCTCATGACCTGAACTCACTCGTCACACACTTGCAAACCCGGAACTCAGCGAAAACGTCAATCATTTCTCCTGCATTTTTTGTGCGCCAGAAGCACGTGCAGAGGTGGGCGAACGTGAGACGTGCCCACTGGATGATTGGGAGCCCGAGTGAAATGCTGGAATTTGGCAGGTGCGATGGCGTCACAGTACCATCCTCAACTCGACTGCTTACCAGGTATGCTGGCTAATGCGATGGAAACAGGTGGCCCGCCACTGGACAGCAGCTACCAGTCAACAAGTGTCATATCTAGAGAGTGATGGCTAAGGATAACGTAGCAGTGCACTGTAATAAAAGCAGAGTCCGTGGGGATAAAACGAGGGTTCGCTGAGCTAGGAAAGCCAAATAAAGGAGCCGTACAAATGATTCATTTTTATCCAGGCCAGAAATACGGGAATGTCCGGTAGACATCTGAAGGTTAAAGCAGTGCATTTGCTAAGTGAAACGAGATATATCCAGTCTACATTCATTTTCGAGATTGGGATAGCTCAGTAGTTACGGTTCCTGATTCATACGCAACCTCGGCACCTCGACCTGTCTAGGCTTGGACAGCCTGGCATTACGTTAGTCCTCGCGCTTCGCTGGGGCGGCATGAAAGGCTAGGCAAGGAAAGGGTGTTGCAGCTGAGTGACCAATAATATTATTACTTCCATTTCTCCCATAACATCGGTGGTCAATTTTCATTGGCTGAAGAAAATGAAGTAGGCGCAGACAGCTTAAGTTACCGGAAAAAAACCATTGTGATTCATTTACCAGCCTGATTGTTAAACGGCACCAGCCAATGTCTCACGTTGACAGCTGGAAGAGCTCCCCGAAGCAAGACTTCGGAACTCACTGATGTCGCTCACTTTTCGGCAGAAGACGCGGTTGTGAGACAATGGTTTTTGACCAAATATAACGTATTCCTGACATCACCCTTTTACAACACCTTAAAAGCGACCGATTTAGCTTGATCTTTTGAACAACTCAGTTAATTCATTCATCATTTATTTTCACTCTGTAGGATTCGAATATACTTGGGACAAGTATATTACTGATTGTCAGAATCTACTTTTAATTTACGGTCACATTACGACCGCAGAAGAGACGCCCATAGGGACATCGCGGTTTTCAGTAGTTTGTTCTTTGCTAAGATGTCTCATTGCCTGCTTCTCGTTCGATCGTCAGTGATGTCATCTAAGGTAGCTGGTTACGAAACCATATTTTCAGTTGCATTACGGAACAGATTCCGCTAGCTTGAAAATAGCCAACGGTTTGACCGTCTGTGCGCCTTTTGACAAGCGCTTCGCACAATATCAGTTCAATCTAGGATGACTGTGGGTCTTTTCTCAGTAGACAGCCTCGTTTGTTCTTCTAATTGATTGTTTTGTTCACAAGTTTCTTGTTTTCAGAGTAAGTTGAACGGGAAGATTAGAGTAGTTTTACTTGCATACCTTTCTACCATACTGGTGAAACTCAGAAAAGTCGGGTAAAGTTAAAGCTAAATTTTACGGCCGACCACTTTACAGCAACAAAAACTGGTGAATTTGAAGCGATATCACAAGTTTTAACTCACTCTTGTCTACGCCAAGCAATCCATCAAAAATTCTGATCTTCATGACAGCAAAAGACCCTAACGCACAATAACCAACCAGGTGAGACGTTTGCTGTACCTAACCAGTCAATTATTTGTGCACCAATACCCATCTCCGGGAGATTCGACCGCCATACATTTGGGCCAGAACAAAGTGGTAGAAAATATTTGAACATTTCTGTTAGCTGAAATATAATCTTCTTTTCTCATTGCCCTCTCCATTCAGAGGTCAAGTATGTTAGCCTCCAGACAACGGAAACAAAGTCCTGGAACTTGCGAAGTTTGGTTAGACTGCCTTCTAGAAGAAACCAGGATAAGTCTATCCCAGCTGACTTACTCAGCGTTCGGACACCAAACGACAAATAATAGACTTAGACTTATTCGCAACGCACTCCTACGGTTGCGAAAATTCTTCGACAGTCCACGATCGGTTTCGCTCTTCTTGGGGTTCATCAGGTAGGCGCAGTCCCCGAGTTTCTGTCAACCTTATGTTCTACTTCACTTGGACGTATTTAATTGAGTGCTCTGAATTTACTGATTGTAAGACAGTTGGCTGGATTTGGACACATTCTGGATTACGTCCTTATCACGTGATTATGGACTTGTTTAGACTAAACCAGATACAACTTTCTCATAGTTTTGCAGGGTATAAGGCTCTCCACTGCCGCTGTCCTGCCTTAAGTGAAATTGGCCTGACGTGCTTTCCTCAGTAACCCTGTCTGGGTAAACACAGTTACCGCCTGTCCAATGACAAAATATACGTTTCTTAGTCCGTTCCATTGTGTATTTTCAAAAAAATGCTGGAATTAACTGGTATTGACCTTACTAACCCTGGTCTACGGAGAAAATTAGAATAGGAATATACCTTGCTTTGAAATGTATCTTCACAACGAAAAAAATCCGCCTTATCTAGGTCTGCTCCTTCAGTCCAATGACGCGAACAGGTTTCCTTCAGTGAGGCTGTCGTGTTCGGTGTTTCGACGGACTCAGTTGGTGGAATATAGTAAACCTTTTAAAACACATCATTCCTAGGCTCCCCGTCGAGTCGCTCTGAAGATCTCATCACTGAAGAGGTAATCCCAACTCCCCAAACAGTCCGCGATTTTGTATCCTGAGGAGTGTCTTTCCACCCAACAACGAACATGAATTTGGACAAGAAAACCCATACGTTTCGAAGGCTACCTGGTGATTCCAAAGGGACTGAGTTATATAGGACATACGTTCATCAATTATCTACCGTGCTTAGTCCAGTGTGTGTGGGCTTAGGTTATGAATTCTAACTTTAACTGACGTATCTATTTTGGGGCATGTAACTTGTAAAAAATTGAGCGCGTATCACTCGGGATTTCTTTGGCACTGGTCATTTGGCAGAATAAACACATCTGTAAAAACAAACAGCTCACGTCGTACTGCCTCCTTAGAGGCAAGTCAGTCCTTTCTAGGAAGAACTTAATTGCAAATTAATTCTTGTATCAGTAAGAACACCTTAATTGCTTCTCTGAATACAGACAACATTCAGATCGGATAAATTCGTTAGTTTCTTGAAGTGGATCACGACCAACGTGATTTGTTGTGGTACTATTGAAGAATGGACCCGTTTACCCAGTCAGACTGTTCGGAGTTCACTCGGGATACTCTTATTTGGTCACGTGTGTATTCTAAATTAGCGCTGTCCACGCTTCTACTGTAAGAGTTATTTTATTCTTTTACGATAAACCAATGAATTTGAAGTGGGCTAATTAATGGCCAGGCCAGCCATTCACCACCTCCCTAATTACATTTTTAACTTGCATCATTGTTGGTCTGATTTCAATCGAGCTTTCGAACTAGTGCTACGGAACCGTTGTACATAATCGATCCCAGAATGTTAAGAACGGGACGACTTCAGTTTAGGATTTTTTTGAAAACAGTGCATTTTAGTTGCTTGACATACTCTTTCAGCTATAAATCAATATCCTGGGTCCTAGCTAAAGAAAAGCAATAACCTTGTTTCAGAGAGTTTTGGCAAATAATCGGTGTATTTATCATCGGCAGCCTTCTTGCTGCGGACGTTCGCGTCATGCGTGAGCGCCCGATGCAGCAGTTTCCGACGCTGCACGTGATCTACCTACCAGCTGCTGAAGCTGCCAATCAGCAGCTTTGTCACCAGGTCAGGTACGAGCGACGTGCTGTAGCGAGACGACACATCGTGTGTGGGCGGTTGCAAGTACGTTCGGTGAGCCATAACAACGAAACGATAGACTGAAGAGGGGCTGACAGAAGTGTCAACCGCACGGTATGAACCATATTTCCAATCCATTCATTATCCCCTAAGTGGTAGTGTATTACGAACAGAAGATCGATAAACCAATGTAGGTGGCCGTTGGTTTTTTTCCTTAGCGGGGCAGTTTGATTACAAACGTTCCACCACCAACCCAGGTGACATCATCCGTGCGTTGTTAGGGCACGTGATGAAGCGCGGTGGAGTGTGGTGGAGGTAGCGATGGATGGGCGCTTGTGCACCTGTGCGCTGCGTGCAAGTATGCGTGCTGCTGGCCGGGGATGACTTCCGACCGCGATTGGTTGTTCGGTAGGGCGGTTACATTAGGTGGCCTGCGGACAAGCCTCAATGGACGCCTACGAAGGAACGTGCTGCCACCCAATAACGAGTACAGGCCGGCATTAGGCCATCCACATTGTTGGGCCCTAGCAAGACAACATGGCAGACGAATGGTGAAATTGATGGCAACACACGCCTACAATCCACTCAGAAAATACGAGAGCAAGACGAATTGTTTGGCTAAAGCCGGTCCACCGCACTCGACAGAACTTGAAGCAACAATCAGGCTCCGAGTAAACAATGCCAAGACCAAACGCTAAAAAGCCATGGCAACCAAGCTGCGTAAACTCACGAAAAAACATTAAACCCAATAAATGCAACGTCTACCTAAATCTCAATAGGGAAGGCGGCAAGCATCCAGGCTAGTCAATCACTCAAGCAATTCACTAAAAGCCGATGAATGTTAATGCACGCGACAGTAGCACAATCAACCATGATAAGTGTTCAGGCATACCATAGAAGTACGGTCGATGTTGATGGGTGTTCACTAAACGCCGATCAGACAGCCTGTATCAGTCTCGAAAAGTGCCCTTTACATAGCGCGGTGCAGTTGTAACTTTTGCTCGCTTGTTGCAATGAAACTGTTGTGTTCCTTACCAGCGAGTCTTCTTTCCGGCACTGGAGCGGGGACCTCGGTCAGATATAAAATTTCAGCAGAACAGGTGAATATAAATTAAAACGCAGATGTGAATCAAGCTGGCAAGTTTTTCCGTGGTAACTAGCAGTATGCTACGATTAAACAAAAAGTGCAGAGTCTGTTAACCACACAGACTCATGCAGTTACGATTTACGAAGAACTGTGTATTGTTCGGGTATACTGCTACATCAGAAGCCTATTGCTTACTAACTTGACCTGAGATCCTGTGTTGCCTGCATGGCAAACTCAAGAAACGGGTACGAAGGAAACAGAGCCTGGAGATTAACCTACACGTCTACACACAACGTGATCTGTCTCTTGATACGGCAATAAACCAACGCCCATTTACTAGCGCAACCTCCGATACTTGGTTAGCTTTCACATGATGCGGAGAACTGACACTAGCCAAGTGGGTGCGTTGCGACCGAAAGGAGATCATGATCACAATATCCGTCTATGCTGGCTGGAACGTGTTCTCTGTGTGGAGGGAGGCAGGTTTCTGAAGGAGCGACTGTATAACCGGCTGAGTACCGAGAAATGGAATCCTGGCCGAAAAAGCGTCAATCGAGCACAAAACAAGATACTGAGAAACGATGCTAACTCGGGTTCGTCAAATAAGCGATAGCCTACCTCGAGCCAGAGAGCTGGAACTTAAAGAACGCAAGGATACCGTCGGAGGTGTTGTACTTGGAGACCAAACAGTCCGGGTCTGCAACGACTGCGGTCGTGTTTGTGCTGGTAGCTTTGGTCTCTTCGATCACCAGAGAGCACAACGCCTCCGTCGATGGAATGTCGGCTTGGGATTTTGTGCAACGGCGTCAGAAGTAATATTCCTTGGCCATCAAGGTACAGACCGGATGCAACCGGAACAATTTGGTACATTGTGCAATTCAGTCCATAAGGACTACGGTTATGCTAGAAGAGACTTTCAATGACCATCATCATGTGGACTCAATCAAGTCGCATCACAGGTGAATACAGAATGCCTGGAGGATATATTTTCGGTTCGACTTGCTAGGAATGCCGCCTCAGCCTATTCGAAGTGGGTACCATTGGTTTTTTTTACTGCTGGGCGTCTGTATTAGCAAATCTCTGCCTTAATGTTCGGGGTGTCCCGGAGCTTTACATATACAATGGTGTCAGTAGTGGCTCCCTATGATCATTGTTGTACCGATCCAGCTAAGTGATGACTGAATGATGCGTGTGCATAAGATGTGTGGTGAGGACTATGAAATGACCTTTTGAATGCATTGTGGATGTCACCTGAACTGATAATCATTGACCACCGTCTAACATATCGGTTTTCCTAAACTCCCCCTACTGTTCACCCTCCGGTCGTATTCCACTGGGTGTACACTAGATGCATGGTGTTCATTTGGGTGCATACGTAGTTCAGCCAAAACCGGGTTGTCAGCTGGTTGCGCAGACGTGGCTCAGCCCAAACCGCACGTGGCACCGCCTATTCTTAGCGCAGAAGTTCATCGACTTAGTTCGGTGTAACAGGCAGCCGACATGTTAGCGATATTTCCGTTCCAACCTGATCAATGCTTCTTATGATGAAAAAGGACGCGCGGAGTTTTACTTGACTAACGATATATTAAGGGAGTATAGAGTTGTATTCAGATGCTTGCTTAGAGTTTTGTAAGCAGGGGCTTTGTAACCTTTGAATCCTTTAAAGCTTTTTGAATGCGGCAGAGTTATTTTTCCGTGCTATAGCGTTTTTCGGTATTGGTGACAAAAGTATGGTCAGGGGGTGGGGTTGGTCAACGCATCAATCAATCAGGTTGACCTAAACGAACTTCAAAGCAACCTAATTACACGTCTTAGTCTGCAATTGTTTGATTAGCTACTTTATCGAGAGCACAAAGTGATAAACGTCTGCCTTCGAAATCTCGTCTTCAGGCTAGTACGTGCCAAGAATTTATTCGATGAACATCTAAGATGGCTTATTAAATCTATAAACAAATTCATACACAGTTGGCTGGTAGCGTAACTGAAGTCTTGTCTGATCTGATGGGACGATGTAAAATGACCTAAAAGACCACTGGGTCACTTGGTCGAGTATTGTGTGTTACATGTGCAAGGCAGGCACAAAATTTGCGCAAACCATTTTGACGGCATGATATCGGATGTAGCGTTCGTATTGTGAATGCTTCGACAGTAACCAAATCATACCGGTGGATCGATGCTGCAACTGACGAGATACGCTGTAAATGAAACGACCCGTTTGAGTTGATCACAGGTGTCAGTGATATTTAACACGACAGAATTGCGGAACGTATTGTTGTGTCTATGGTAGTCCACCGGCAAGGAGATGCTCGTCTTTTATCCCTGTAAACTGTCGTGTCAGGCGCTCAAACTAATTTACGGAATGACAGCAGACGAAGGAATGAACGATCATATTTTGGGTGAGGACAGGTATCTTGTCTCGGAGGTTCAGGTTGAGCAAAAGGTTGAAGATGCAAAAATAACGTAAAGTTACAGCAGAAAATGTGTTGCGAAGTCTGTAACTATGTGGTATCGTAATTCTAGGTTAGATTGGACTAGGTAGAGTCTGTTGTATCATTCGCGACATGCGATCGGAGAGAACGTCTCTACAGTTCCTGCTACGAATCTGTCCGAAAGATTATTAGCTCTGAGTACGATAAAGGTAGACTTCCAGTTAGATTTGGGGAAAATGTAGAATACAATCCCACCGCATACTATGGGTCATTACGGTGTAGAACACGGTTAGTTGCTGGTCATAGATTTGTTCGCTGAGATGGGTAACTTAACCGCGAACCTTCCATCACCAATCGAGGTGATATCATCACATCAATGTTAGGGTGCACCGGAACATTTATTCCTGTCTGAGTTTATCTTCGTCTCGATGGCAAATAACTGTGTATTCCCACAACCATGTACACATTCTTGCATAAATCTCTCAAGCGATCCACGATGTTAGGGTGCACCGGAACATTTATTCCTGTCTGAGTTTATCTTCGTCTCGATGGCAAATAACTGTGTATTCCCACAACCATGTACACATTCTTGCATAAATCTCTCAAGCGATCCCATGAATAGTCTGAGTAGTTGAACAGTTTTTCACCATCCTGTGAGATAAGACAACTCCAACTGCCGGCTGACTGTCAACGTCTTCATACAGTAGGTCAGACAACTGACCTTAGCTTTTCTGGCTGTTGTTTATTAGCAGACTATTTATTAGAATTTAAAAAGTCTTGAATCGACTGAGGCACCGAAAATAGGTTTTTCGGAAACCTGCGAGTCCTAGTGTTTAACGGGGCGGACAGAGGTCCACCAGACCCAGTAACTCGATGATGGCTATAAAGAGAAGTGCATTGAAGATCTCTGAGGGTTTCGTATATATCGCCTTGAATTTGGTTGCTGCTTGGGGATCCGGGTTCCTCAAAACTTTGGGCCAATGCAATTCTCTCACTAGACAGTGGTTCTACCGAAAGCATCCGTTTCTACCCAGTGTACATGCTCGTTCTCATCGAATTACTTACACCTGTGAGGTACATTGGATACCTAAAATTAATGGCTAAATTCACCATCCTGTTGATCCGATCGACATTCCGATCGACCGTAAAGTAGTATGTTTTCTTGGTCATTAGACCTTAGATTACTTTTCTATAATGAACAAGTGTTTCAAGTCCATAGTCAATGATTTACCACCCACAATTACAGTGGAAACTAATGCTCCAATTTCTGTTCTTTTCCCATGCCAGCGGTCCATCGCATTCGCTTGCCTGTCGCGGTTTGTTTGTTGTTAGAAGTTGACCGCGCATATGCTGAACCAAATATGTTGATAACATGCGGATGCAGTGTGACACAACAGAACGATTGCATTTCCAAGGTTATCCGGTTGCGCACGACAAGTGCAAACCCCAATGTCACACCATCATTTGGTTGAATACAGCACTTTGTTTGACGGAATACACTACTCATCAGGCTGCTGAAAACGCTTCGACAGCTCATGATCGGTTTCGTCCTTCTTCAATGGGCTGTCGAAGAATTTTCAGCAACCTTATTAGTAATGTGCTACGCCTACAGGATGTTAGAACAGTTTGCGAGGACATCAGAAACGACTGGTTCAGTTGCGTCTCCTGTTATCACCGATGCAATATGTAAACGAATGTATTTCGTCTAGTCCGTGTGCATTCGTTTTCCTGATTGCTGACTGCTACTCGGTGTGTAGCTCTTTGAGAAGGACAGTGAAAACCAGAAAAACTGAAAACGATAGTCTCGCACAGAAATATGTATATACCAAACCAGGTCGATCGATCACAGAGAGCTATGTGTATGCAAACATAATCAGGTTGGTAACCAAGGGGACGCTCGTGATCCAAGATGTATGGGCACATTGGTTAAAATACCAGACGAATAGAAGCGAGTAAGACATGACAATGAATTAAACATAAAGGGTTGCAATGTGAAATATCTCAAGCATGTCCAACACAACTGTGCTTCAAGATACAATATTGCTGTTCACAACAGTTCAGAGACACAACATGCCGCACATCCAGAGGCTTCAGGAAAGCAAATCCGGAGAACTATCCCAGCGACCGAAGAAACCGAAGCAAATCTCATTCGAGCTTCATGAGTACTGCTCATTCCCAAGGTTGAACATGGAAGGATTGAGTTACTGGTGTGGAAGAAAGCCAAGAGCAATGACTCTCCAATTCTACATCCTAGGATATCCCTGTATCATTTTCTCGGATGGTCGGGGCTCCAAGGCCAGTTTGTGGGGAATTTTTCCTTTATCATTGGCATGCTTTACCACCTACTTTGTTTAACACGAAATTTCAAAATGACGAAAGATGCTCAACTCCGTAGAACGTATCAAGATTCGGAATATGGAAGCAACCCACCCTAAATTCATCAAAGCTCTGTAAGGAGTGTGCCATCACGAGTGGGATATGTTGAGGTATCAGAGCATTCATGAAGCAGAAAAGTGGGGTCAGTGAGCATGCCGGTCACTCATTGACTAGCGTGTAGCAGAAGCATTCCACCATCTAAAGCATCTCAGCATTTTTGGGGCCTTCGAACAGAGTAACACACCTAACTGCACTCATAACAGATTCACAGAGAGACCGACTCCAAACCTGTTTATTGACACCTTGCAGACGGAATTCATTCTTTTGGCGCCTTGCCATCAGGACTGTACTCTTCCGACCTAGTAGAATAGTATGGTTGCATGACCTGTAAGACCGAGTAAAAGAACCTCAAGGCTCGTTTTCCGTGCAAGTAAACTGGGAGATTGATGAAGTGACAAGACCTCACAGTAGGAAATGTTACGGCCCGTTTGGTGGACGGGAGAGTCATAAAGACCACAGTTATAAAAAAACTCTACAGTTTCCAGGTTCCGTGGGAAATGATGCGGTGTGAAGAAGTTGGCAGGTCGGCTTGGCGACTGAATGGCTCGCAAATGTTTGTGGCTGTGATACCTAGTGGCCTGCGAGGGAAACCGTGGTGCTGTGGAGCACACGGAGTGTTTCACAGCTTGCTATCTACTGCAACCTGAGGTCCATTGTAAAGAAATGACAAAGGATTCCGAAGAATATGTTGTTACCTTTAACTCGTGGTGACCGATAAACTGGCATAGGGAAGCTATTATTTACGTGGGCCTGTACGTCTGGCGACAATATTTTGGCAATCAACATTTGGTAAATGTAGGCAGTAGAACTACACCACAGTAAACCGCTGAACACTGGAGGTGATGATAACAGACTAAGTGAAGTTGTAATAAAGGGGACTACTCAGAAGGTCTTTGGGAGTTATTCAACAGCCCGAGGCTGGTTTCACACTTCTCGAAGTGCGCCAGGTAG